GCGTGTAGCATAGTGCAGTGTAGTGCTAGTTAGGACTTAGAAGGTATAAAGTAGTTCAAGGCGTCTTGCCTTGGGATTTTTCCAGTTTCGGAAGTGCAGATCAGGAACTCATTTTCTCTACGTGTTTGTGTCCTTAGTTCTGTCACCACGCAAGAGGAGCTACACCTTGGCGGTCCGCATTGCGTAGCTGAAGGCCTTCGGCCGAATGTTCAGAGCTAGTACATTGGTTAGAAACTTGAGTAGTTCGGATCTACACCTGCGGGTGATTGCCGATGCTAAGAGCCAGTGACTAGTTAGATACTTGAATAGTTTCGCCCCTACACCTTCAAGTGTTTGTTCCTGATTGTACTCCTTCGGGATTTTTCCCCTGAATGCCAAAGTGAAGTTTTGCTACTTCGTGTAAGCCTTGGTTGTAAATTCAGGTTACGCTGCAGCAGGTGCATTCAGGGCAACCCCTGTAGTATTTTTGGGAATGACAAGTGCCTAAGAATTCAAACTCTTCAATAGACTGTTATTGTGTGTTACTAGAACGTTTTTCAATTGAGTCCCTCCATGCGGACCTGTGTTCTCTGCGCGTTTTGTGAGTTGAGAGTGTTGTTCACCGCGTGTGAGTGACTTCGATCCGAAGTAGGAAGTCCAACCCGGGTTCCCTACGCTAGCAGAAAGCTAGTGGAAGGGTTGGAAAAGCCGGAGTTGGGAGTCACTACCCGTAGCTTCGCTGAGTGCTCGCGAGAGACTTTCCCCCTGAAATTTTAAGTAGAGGTCCTAACCGATCTCTGGGTTGTGTTTTTGTAGTTTAAGGTGTGTGTGTGTGTGTTGTACGCTGCACTATGCGACCTCTGAGTGAGCTCCGAGTGAACACTTGCAGTATTTCTGGGAGTGACAGTCGCCTGAGAATTCAAACTCCTCAATAGTCTGTTAGATGTGACACTTTGTACCCTGTGTGTTCCTCTGTCCCTGTGGGTTCGACCTTTCTACCACTATATTGCAGTTTTAGCCTTTAGTGGGTTATTACAGAGAGCAGGTATCACTTCATTGACGATGATTGATGACCTCCCGTACTTGATTGCCAATTTCATCTCCTTGTATGACTTTGTAAGGGAATTGAGAATAATGATTGTCTTATTCTTGTAGTTGAGCTATTTCTTGTTGCCAGAATTTGTGACCTCAATCGTCATCTTCAAGAATTCGTCTAAGTTGGCTTTCATTCACTTTGTATGATCCATATCAAACCCAAAGAGACTCTCTTCAATTAGATCTTGTTGGAGAGAAAGCTAGATTGAAACATCTCCTCAAGCTTCTTCCACACCTTTGTTGGTTTGTCTTCCTTATCAATTAGATGGATAATCAAATCAGACAAGTGAAAGATTAGTGTACTCATAACTGTTTCATACATTTCCTTTCTTTGATCTTGGGGAATGTCTTCAGGCCATGGCACTAGGTCGGAGATGACCCTGTGCAATCTCTACTAGGCGAAGAGCGCTGAGATTTTCCTGCGGCAGATGCAAAAATCTCTAGTTCCGTCAAATTTCTCGATGTTAATTCTCATTGCCAACGAAAGATTCCAAAAATTGAGACTCAATACGCTTCGTTGTGACGAATTTCTGTTGGTGCTTTGCTGTGGAAGATCGTCGCTCCAATTTGGCTAGCCGATGCGTTATGCGAGGCGATTTCATGCTTTCAAATCCGCCAGGATGATTCGAAACGCGAGATACAGAATTGACAAATCTGTGAAATCAAGATTGATGCTCTGATACCAATGTAAAGATTTTCATCCCCAAAACCAACAAAAATCACAGTCCACATACACAACAAAACACAAGAATTTTGTTTGACGAAGTTAAACTCAAAATCCTAGTCCATCCGAACATATCATTGAAGCTACTTTGATTATATAACCAAGATCAATGTCGTCGGACTTTTACTTCTCAATGTTTTTACAGAATTTCGTTCCGGTGAGAAATACTCACAAAGACAATTATTCCTGTTTCCCAATTCTCATACTTGAGTTTTCTTGAAAATTCCAATACTAAGAAATACTTTAATCCGCTGGCTAGCTTTTAAACCATCCTGACTTATAATGGAAAAATATAAGAATGAATCAAAGTAAATTCCTATACAGACCATATAATATTGAAACATCAACGAGCGAATTTCTAAGAAAGAAAAACTTCTAAAGAAAAACTACATGTAACTGAAGCTGATATCTCACGTTGTGAGACACTTTCTTCTGCTTCTCATAAGCGTTATAAATTATCTTGAGTATTGTTTTGTTTACTATGTACATTCTGCTCCAAGATCATTTCTACATGTTTAGAGGTGAACTGTTGCAAAATCATCTCAAAATTTCTCGAATAAAATGTTGATGAAAATCCAGATTTACAGCATGAAGGCTGTAATAAGCATCAAAGATGTCATACTGTCGAACATGATATCAGTCTCAATGGTCTTTCATCCAAAGGATGCTTAACCAGAACGCAGAGAACCAAAAGACATCAATGAAAGAAAGCTAAAAACAAGATATCCATCACATGAACAAACTTGTAAAGTATATCGACATTTTGTGGCATCAAGGAAACCTCTTCATAAACAAAATAAGTTGTTAAGAAATCGAGTACGTAGTTCTCGATTGAGCTGTTATGCAGTAAAGTTGTATTGCTGTGCATTGGGGCGATCGTGTCATGGTTTAAGATGACTAAAAGTCAATGACATATTCTTGTGAGACGAGAGTATCCAACATCACGGAGAATATCTTATACCAGCGCAATGGAATAGTGTAACGAGTGATGTGTTCTGTTTGAGCTGCTTGGAGGCGTTGAATCTTCAATTGTCTTATCCGACTGAGTTTGCAAACAGACAGCTGATGTTAATAAGCGTCCCAGAGGCATGGTTTACACAACCTCCTTGCACTAGATTTGCTAATATCTGCAAGGATATGTTACAGCAAGAACATCAGTAATGAACTGTTATGCATTGATAACTTTATCCTGCAATTATGAAAGCAAGACTTTTGCGTAGTTTTGAAAATCGTTTGGAGATTAAATATCGCTATCTCACTCTTTGCTATGCAGGTTTGCGTCTTGTTGAAACCTATAGGTTGGAGGTCCATATGGCCCGTCGCTATGGGTCGCATAGACGGAGTGCAATTCACAGCCTTGATGGCTGATAGCAATCTACCATTCCCTGTGCTCAACTTTGGCGGGCTTCTTGCTAACTCCGCCTCCAAACGGGTTCAATGCATGAGAGATGATTACAGTCTCAGGTCTGCAAGCTGCCACCATCAGCGTTCTGAATTTTGTTCGCTACATTCATCATTCTGGTATTTATTTTTCACTCTCCCGTTGTTAATATGATGTTTCTTTTTAGTCGTTCATTTTTACATTTGTCCGTGGCATCCGTGAATTACATGGTGCCCATCAACGCTCGGCTTTATTAACGACGTTTCGATCTCTGACTCTTTTTAGCTACTAGTCGATTATGACTCTGACTCTATGTATCTCCGAACTTGCAAGTGCAATGGCTACTTTAGCTTCAAGGTTGTGGACTGACAATATGCAGTGCAACGAAATATTCCCACATCTGTGTAACTTCACTGTACAGCTACCTACCGCTATGATTGCAGCGGCTTCACTTCAGAGCCCGACAGTGGGTGCCCATACCCATGCCCACACCTACCCATACCCATGGGTTATGGGTGGGTTTTGGGTGACATTAGCTTTCCATGGGTGGGCACAAGTAATGCTAAGAGCAGTGTTTGTCAAGATCGAACCAAGAATTTTCGTAATTTGAGTATGATGGGTGGGCACAGGTAAGGCTATGGGTGGGTTTAGGTCGCTGCTGATGGTTATGGTCTGGTCTGGGTGCAGATTTGAATTAAAATGTTGGACTCTGTTTCATTCCTTCTGCAAGTGTTGATATATGCATTGATGTTTGCATGAATACAGCTACCTACCGCTATGATTGCAGCGGCTTCAGTGGAACGCGTGCCTGGCGACTCCCGAGGACAAATATATGTGGGATTCCAGTTGACTTTTAGGCGTAGATTGAGTCCCATCCTCGAAACAGTGAACGAACGTCGATTCCAGCTCATACCGTGCTCGACAGTAAGATGCATGAAGCACCTACGACGTTTCATCAACCTCAGAATCCCATTCTCAACCTGTAAATCTAGAAGTGTATCCAGTGAGTATAGTGGGATGACGTTTTCTAGAATGGAGTTATCAATAAGCTGCTGGCATCTAAATAATTAGTGAGCATTATATGAAGATTGCGTGCTCAAAGGTTTCACGGGTTCTTACCTGTTCGATCTCTTGGAGTTGATGCTTGAAGGCCTTGATGACCTGAACACATCTCAGCAACATAACTTATTGATTAGTAAAGTTGATTGAACGGAGAGCTTGCTTCGAGTTCAAGTTTAAGAAATCAGGAACAAATATCAAAACCGAACAAAATTAAAGAATATAATTTGTATTCTTTATCATTCATGAAATTAGCTCAATCACGAACTTTGAGGTTAAATTTCAATGTGATTGGAAAATAGATTTTAGAATAGAATCTAAATTTTTCCAATATCTTGGAAAAATTCATATTTGACTATTTACTCGAGATCTTATTAGCGTGAGGTTGACACTCATTTGATGTTTACTGATCAAGTATTATTTACAATTTTACTAAACTCTCCTTGGAAACTGTTTGGGAGAGAGAAAAAGAGATTAATTTAGCTGAAAGGCGGTCATCGTGTATATGTTGGAAGATTCATTGCGATGTTGTTCTAGGCAGTTTTCAATTATAGCATGGTGGATTCCGGACACAGGTTGCGCATGTGTTGAGCCAGTTTTAGGGTAAGGTTCAAGCTCTTGCAATATTGAGGGTTACTCCCACTGTACACAGAAGGATCTTAACTGACAGTAGTTAAAGGTCTCAGACTTCTGAGTCCCGACTGACTTTCGACAGAGATTTGGTGGATCCACTGACACTTTTGATAGAAAGTCAAGCATCGTTGAGCCATCACTCTTAACTCCGGCTCGGGCTTTTGAGGCATTCTTGGTCAATTTGTGCTAGAAAGTCAAGCATCGTTGAGCCATCACTCTTAACTCCGGCTCGGGCTTTTGAGGCATTCTTGGTCAATTTGTGCTAGAAAGTCAAGCATCGTTGAGCCATCACTCTTAACTCCGGCTCGGGTTTTGAGGCATTCTTGGTCAATTTGTGCTAGAAATCAAGCATAGTTGAGCCATCACTCTTAAATCCGGCTCGGACTTTTGAGGCATTCTTGGTCAATTTGTGGGGCCAGATTTATTTATCGAGGGAAACGCAGCAGCTGAGAACTCGTCATTACGAGACGGTCAGGGCTTCTCTGATTCGCTTCTCGTTTCGTATTCTACGGATGTACAAGTGGACATTGTCGAGCTCACCCTACGTGCCTTAAGTATGTATCGACGACAGTGTCAACCCCATCTCAGAAGGAAGTCTGTACTGCTGCTCATGAGCGGAGCGACCACTATGAAATCTGGAAGACGATGCCAGAAGCAGTGCTGATGAGACCAGGGGGATCGCGGTGGCCACATACTCGTTCTCAGCGAAGTGTCGATGGAAAAGAAGAGCGGTTCCATCTGGCTATCTTCGATTCGTCATCTTCGAGACGTGATTACAAGCGTCCGGAGTTCAGATGAGAGTTTGAAGACCGACGGTTCAAATCACGTAAATTCTTCATCCTTCTCCAAGCACTTTTCATATGAGCTGTAATAAAATTTCGATGAGCACTTACAGCTGAAACGATATTTCCAGTTGCGTCCGTTTTTCACATTCTGAGCCACAAGCGGCGTAGTACACAGAGGAGCTTCATGCTCGGTCCATTCTAGAGCCACAATGAAAAATTCACCTTGTTCGTCGTGTTGCTTAAATGTGCAATGATCCTGATTTAACTCTTCAAATTTGTCTTAGGCGCAGGTTCCAGAAGAGGGTTCCGACGCACGTGCAACTGAGACGACATCTATGTTCGCCAATCGCATCAATGACGAACTGTTTGTGCTGTACGCACCATCGGATGGACTGCCTCACAACATGGAGATAGTATTTGTGCACGACCTATATACCCAAGGCTCTAGAGATGCGTGGAGGACGACATGGACCAACGACGATGGCACATGCTGGCCGAGAGAATTCTTGGGAAAAAAGTTCCCGAGATCTCGTATCTTAGCGGTGTCTTATGATGCTTGTGTAATTACGAATAGTACCCAGGGCCGAATGGACTCCTTGTCCATTGTTGCAGAAAATCTGATGGTCAACTTTTTCCTTAGAAGTAGCAATGTTGGGCAGACAAACAACTGCCCAGTTGTCTTCGTCGGGCATGGTCTGGGCTGCTTCGTCATTAAGAATCTAATGCTCAAAGCGTGTGAGCACTACAAGGAGAACAACGACGAAAGGAGGAAATTGTTAGAAAATGTACGTGGCTTTGTGTTCTATTCTCCTTTCAACTCCGGAGTCCAATGGGATCTCTATGCGAATGAGTCTGGTCAAAGTAACTCACTAACGGACTCCTTAAGACCACACAATGCGGAACTGAGTCGACTCAACGAAGCTTTCGCAAGCCTTCGACGCCGTATGCAGGAGAGGCGGAACTCAAGGAATTTGTGGACGGTGTTGACAATCTGCGAGTCACATGAAACAGCATCAAGCAGCGTGAGTCTCTCTAGCGAGCACCGTTGAAAGTGGTAGTTGAGAGTCTGATTCGCATAAGATGTATCGGTTTGCAGAGGCTTGCAGTTTCTTTCCAACTTTTTCAGTTCATGATGGTCTTCTGAGAGGAACTGACAATTCAGCTTCTATATCGGTCCATTATTTTTGGTGAGAGCATGAACAGCAGATTGACATGTGGACATGATGGAGAGACTATAAAGCTGGGGATGATTGCAATGTGCTTGTTGTGTCGAAATTTTTAATTCCTTCTTGAGTTCTGTTGCTCATGTCACTGCGTACTGTAGTATGATTCAAGAGTGTGCTAAGCCGTCTCGTAGTAAGTAGTGACTAAATCTACATACTCGCTCTATTGCGATGCAGCGTGGCCGCTCGCAAAGATCAGGAACCTTTGTTACAGAGGCAACGGCCAGATTCGATTGCGAACAATTCCGATTTGGAGTTGGTGACCATTTCGGAGTCTGCAAACATCAGTCAACAGGAGACGTTGGATATCAATGCGTCGAAAATTGGCTGGATTCTATCCTGAAGAGTCAAAGAAAGCCTACTCCCTATTCCATGCCCAAATTTCTTCCCCGCGAGCCGTTCATGGACCCTTCTACTGACAAACTCCCTTCCTACAATTCCGGAGAATCCGTTCTCAAGTTTTTGTCAGACATTGATACAGGACAGGACTATGAAGCAGCCGTTCTAAAGTTTTTTCCAGACATTGATTCACCAAAAGAACAGGCGTATGAAGCAGCCCTTCTCAAGCTTTTTTCAGACTTTGATTCACAAAAAGAACAGGAGTACAAAAAATATTTCCGCTGACCGGTTTCAACGTGGACACACCTCGATTAGGGTGACAAAGGACTACTATACAAGGCGCACACCCCTCCGGCAAGCACAGAATGTGAACCCAATAACGACTTTCCTTGTCATCCAGGGAGAAGCTATCATGGTCGAGGGCCATTGCTATGCTTGTAATGTTGTACCAATCGCTTTGTTTAAGATTCGTGGGATGAGGCTAGGGTGTCAAATTGTCTAGGAATGATGTAAATATATCCTGCAGTGAAATGCAGGTGCGAGTCAGAGGGTAGTGTTTTGAAGAACTAGCCGGTCGCATGTATCGATGGCAATAAAAATAAATCTATCTTTATACAGCTATACAGCTGGTTCTGATCTGGGTGAGACACGTGTTTATGACCAAGAACTACAACTACAAAAATGTGCGGCCGAGGTATAGGTGATGACAGGCTGTAGGTAAGCTGTATGGTTGGATAAAACGATTACCAAGGTCCTAAACAAAGTTATATACTGAGAATCAATTTTTGAAAGGAAATGAATGAATGAGTCCGAAGTTCTAGCTGCTCTGCGTTAACACATGAATATGACAAGGGGAACAGAAAAAGAAATGGCTTTTGAATAGGCCAAGAAACACAGAACAACAAATCAAAACTGACGGTCTTGAAAAAATCAAGACTCCAATGATTATGTGACACGTCCTCTGCCATTATAAGACACTGTCATTCTGTTTTGATTTCCTGCAGCCGATACGTACTGCAGGATCATAAACCTGATTTTCTTAGTATCGAGGATTTCAGTGGAACGAGATGGAGTGAGATGGATCAATTTATTTCGCTGTAGAAAGACAGATGTTAGAATTCGTAGCAAGATATCATGAATGATCAAGAAAGCCGGTTCCATCTAAACTAATCTTCTGAATCAGATTCACAAGGGGTAATGAGCAATTGCTTCTACCTCGAATTATGCACTACCCTGCCAAATATTCTGCTCACTTCGTCTTCACAGTAAGCAAAGGAAAAGGAGTGAGACCACAAGATAGTGCCATGCACTGGAGATTGTTCTGGAGCTGCCTGTTTGCTTCCATCTAAAACGTGTGATCACAATAGTTTCTACCACCAAACGTGTAAACCCTTTGGAGAGAGCGATTGCTTTCACTCTATCAACTTTATGACCGCAAGTCTTCTGCCGTATTACTAGCGCCGCATCATGATTCGTCACTGACAAGGATGCATAAATATGTATAGACAATCAACCTCTGTTATAAAATGAAAGCTTCTGGAAGGTCCGTACTTGCTTACAAGGGTTGGTCATGTTCAGTAGTCAGGAAAAGTCCAGGACCACCTTTGACAGGGCACTCAAAAGTTGCTGTATCGGCGCATATAAATTTATAGGTCTAAAATCAATTGCCCCATTCGTTGCAGTCGACGCAGAAGCCCTTGAGTACGAAGATGGTGAGAACAGTGTTCTCGCCTGATGTCATCAGCAATGTGTAAGAGCTAGTGCAGTTGGTCTGGCAGCATGGCTCCGCTCGGCTGATCCGACCATCGAGAATGGCATGGGGAGCATGGGGGCTTTCCGAGGGTCGAGGATTCGTAAAGAATTTCGCTCTACATCAATCTTTGACGTGCTGAGAGGTTACGAACTGAGTCAGCATTCATAAATCTCCCAACTGATCCGATGCGTCTGCTTGGATATGTGTGCCGACCCCTCATTCGAATTCGCAATTGACCGTAATTCTTCACTTCAAGAGTCTGACGGCTGAGATGGACAAGTCACGAGCAGCCGAAGAGTTGGAACTACTTACAACTACTAAGTTTCAGGTCCAAACTTTACTCCAAACAAACACAAATATTATTATTAATATTTTTTTAATTTTCACGAGGATTAACGATGGCATTCTTGTTGAGTTGAATACGGATAAATGAACGAAATTTTGAGTAAAACAATCAATGACACCATCTGTATCAAAGCATTTTACTGAAGCCTTAAAAGTGAACTGTTGAGATAGATATGTAAAAAAGTATTCGTCACATTACACTTTCTCAGGGCTCTGTTATGTGATCATGATAATATTCTAACTCCAAAATTACACTTGGAACTGTAATTATTGGATAAAATCATACCACTATTTCCATTAGTGACGTACTTATTATTGGGAAATTTACTAGGTACAATTTAATGGTTCTGGAATTTCATGTCACTAATGGGAGTATTTCACTCATAAGACTTGACACTCTTGGGAGGTTCACCTCTGTATCTTGAGTGCCCTCTAGGTCCCTCCGAACTTATTTGGCACTCCCCCAATGACGTGGTATCATTAGTGTATCTACCAAAAGCTCCCACACAGTGAGCAATGTCTGGTCTGGTAAAAACTACAGCAAACATCAATGATCCTACCGCACTCTGGTAAAGAAATTGTAGATATTCGATTGTTTCCTTGCTGATTTCTTCCATGTCTTTTGGAGTCCGCAGCTGGAATCCAAAGTTGTTGCAACGGGTTTTGCGTCCTACATCCTACACCTTCATTCAATGCTTTCAATGTACTTCGTCTGGTTGATCCTATACCACCCTTCCTTTTCCTCTAAATGTTGATTCCTAATCAGAGTATGTTTTCTGATCGCTTAGCATCATACTTCTCACATCCGATAAAGTCATTGTGGTTAGATTCAACGTAAAGTCAGAGTTGACCACTGTCATAGATGCAATCCTATGTTGCCTGGCGAGAATGTGTCTGCGGATTTGCAAATTTCAGAACCCGGACATTCAGGGGTGGATACAAATTTCACGGTTGTGTCTGATTATGTGCATGTTTGATGTTTGGAAGGATCTACACGGTGCGATGCGTGCAATCTCTTGAACTCCAGCGCGAGCAACCAGGTGGAAGGGAAGCTCATGTCAACTCAAAGGTCCGAGGATCCATCAAATCAAAGCAACTCCGGAACATTCCTGCCCAGGAGTTGAATCTTGCGCTGACATTCTCGACATGGCTGCTTGTGACGCCACAGCCAACGAGCATTGATATCTTTCTCTTGCAATTATGAAAGCAAGACTTTTGCGTATTGTTTAAAAACGTTTGGAGATTGGTCTCTTGTTGAAACCCGTAGATTGGAGGCCCACATGCCCGTCACTGTGGGTCGCAGAGACGGAGTGCACTCCATAGCCTTGATGGCTGATAACAATCTACCATTTCCTGTGCTCAATTTCAGCGGGTTTGTTGATAAATCTACCGCCAAAGGCTTCAATGTAAGAGAGATGATTACAAACTCAGGTCCATAAGCTGCCACCATCCGCGTTCTGAATTTTGTTCGCTATATTCATAATTAGATTATTTAATTTTCATTCTCCCGATCTTAACAAGATGTTTCTTTTTAGTTGTTCATTTCTACATTTTTTCATCGCATCCGTGAATTACATGGTGCCCATCTACGCTTAGCTTTCACTTTCGGCCTAAACGACGTTTCGATCTCTGACTCTTTTTAGCTACTAGTATATTATGACTCTCACTCTAATGTAACTCCGAACTAGCAAGTGCAATGGCTTCTTTGGCTTCACAGTTGTGGACTGACAATATGCAATGCAACGAAAATATCCCCACATCTGTATAACTTCACTAGAGGGGATGATGCCGGCGACACCGACCCTGACATGGATAAAATCTTTGCTGTGTTCCTCAAGAAGCACTCTCCTATGGGTATCACTACCAACACAACCTTCGTCGACTCCAGAGCCAACATCTTCGACAGTGCCTAGCACAAAATGTTCTGCAGGGCAAGGGAATTTTCATCACTGATTCGGTGCTCAATCCCAATCCTGTAGGCAAGAAAGTTGTCACCACGTTCTCAAACCTGGATCCACCTTCTTCGCAGGATTCGCAGCTAGCATGATGAAGATGGGAAATCTCCGGTGCTCACTGGCACCAAGGGGCATACTTGCAGGACAGGTCAATTCGTAAACTAGTAGGCCACTCTAAAGTTTCAACCAGCTTTAGATCAGTCGGAGTAGCATCAGCTAGGAGGACGTTAAGTCTGACATAATTCTTGTCAGTCTTAAAGAGTAGCTACATTCACTATTTATTCATCCGTTTGTTTTCCAAAGCTCCAGTTGGAGACGCACGACGTTTTTGAGCTTCCTCGATGAAGACTTTCAACAACCATAAGGAAGATTAGGAACATCTTCGTTTAAAACTGCTGCAACTTGGAACGAAGTGCTAGAAACCACTGATGATAATCAGTTTCTGTCTACTGCAAGGTGTGACTATATATAAACATATATAAAGGAGCAAAGGTCCTAAACTCTAAACCTTAAAACTTAAACCTACCCCTAGACATAATCTCTGTAAGAATACCATTCCTGGACTGCAAAAGACTTATTCCAGAATATGAATACACTTCAAAGACCAAGGTAGTATCTATGCTGGTTAAATTTCAATCTAGGAAGTGATTTGGTCAGCATGTCCGCCGGGTGTAATTTGGTAGAGAGGGATTTAACTGTAATTTCTCCAAGAGTCATCCGCTCTCGAATAAAATGATGTTGGTTCCCTATGTGTTTACTCCTTGCATGGAAGACAGGAATTTTAACCAAGTTCAATCACGCTTTGATTGTCACAGAGAACGGTTGTTGACTCGCTTTTTGAGCCAGGAATTTGAAGTGCAGAAGTTACCTTACCGTCTTTGCAAGATAGTTTTATTGGGGTCATCATTGTCGGGTTGACTTCGTGCATAGGTTGTCACAACCAGATGGCTTGGTGTGCTCCAAAGGATAGGGCTGTGTATTCGCTCTCAGTTGATGAAACTGAAACAAGATTTTGTTTCTTGGAACACCATGAGACTGCTACGCTTGCGAGTGTGAACGTGTATGCACCAGTTGATTTAAGAAAGTCAAGGCATGAACCCCAGGTTGCATTAGTGTAATCTTGTAGTTGGAGAGTATGAACTCGTGAACAAGATGCCGTGGTCGGTAGTGGTTTTTAGGTACTGCAATGATACGCATTTTCCAGATGAGCTTTTTCTGGTGATGCCATGAAACGCGATAGTTGTCTCACATCAAAGCAATGTCTAATCTTGAATTGGTAGATCGTAGAAGACGAGTTGATGGAGTCGCAATAGTGCTGTCACGCAAAAGTAATCGAAGCTTCGAAAGCTTGTACAAACTGTAGCGTGGGTCCGGTTCTTCTTGGAGTAACACTCTAGGTGAATTGCCTTTTACAGAAACAAAGCTTCGAGCTGAAGCTATGTGACCAAGCTCCGTGAGTTGACCGATTGAGTGCAGGTTACGCTTCACACCAGACTCATGGAAAGCATTGAAGATTTTATTTTCATTCCAAGTAAGAGATCCTTTGCTTGCAGTTCTCAATGAAAGATGTTCAGATTGCTTTTCAACATTTGAGGGGAGATATATATCTGAAATCAAATGTGATGAAGCCCCACTATCAAAGGACAGTGATTGCTTTTCTTCAACTTGACTTAAGAAGGGAGACATTACATTAGCTGCATCGAGAGGCACCGGGTCATGGTCAAATGACCCGGTGCCATGGCCTCTTCAAAGCCAACCTTGCGGTGATCGTCAAGACCATGGATCGCCTTGCGTTCTTCTCAATTTGTAGGAGATTTTCACGGAGTTGAGTTGTTGCTGAAGCTTGTGTTGCTTGCATTCGTAAAACCAATGTCCATCATCACCGTAGTTGTTGCAGGTTGATGCTTGGAGGAGCTAAATGAGAGGTGCAGCTCCTTTGGTGCTCATATGACATATCATGAGGACGCTTTGAGAATTGACGAGACTTTGAGTAGCGTTGTGAGAAATAGCCCCGAGAATAATCTCGAGATTCAGATCTACGGTTTTACTCTGGGTAGACTCGATTGTATTGAAAGCGTTCATAAGAGATTTGTCTTCCTTTACTATTTGATATGACTCTTGCTCCCGTTCGTGATCTTGTTCTCGGCTATTGAGATGGTCGTCGCGAAGATTATAAGGAGATGTCTTGTCCTTTCTGACTGCAATTAAAGACTCAGCAAATCCTCCATAACCATTAGATCTGATTTCACGCCTCATTTTTCATCAATTAGAAGAATGAAAAGCTGGGAAGGGTGTATGTATTGTGAATCATGCTAGCTATAATTGAGGTAACAAAACCACCCGAACTAGGTAAATTCATGAGGATAAAGGTAATAAGTTCTGAATCTTTGACTTTATCGTTGCACTTAGACGATTAATTAGGAAGCTATTTCACTCCACGTTGATGAGCTATTTCACTCCACGTTGATAGGTTTGGATAGGTTGACATTCTCGCATAACGAGATTTGAGAGTCAGAAAATTGTATAGTAGGATTTTTCAATGTACGCATATTATTATTGATAAATTTACCCTCCCGAATAATGAGTTTTGTGAGTTTTAGATCTAATAGTTGATTTAGATCTTTGCTGGAGGATGCAAAAGGAGTCTCCAGTTTTTTAAACATTAAGTATAGATCAGACATGACAGATATATGGTGTACAATGTGCTGACTCATGTTCATAATGATATAGTAGATGGCGTCGTCACCTAGTCCGAGAACACGTATGTTCATAATGATATAGTAAAGAGGAAATTACTTGATGTGACCCTTTGGAAACTCAACGTTCTTAAAAGGACCCATCAGGTTTCATTTTACCCGATGGGACCCATTCGATGGTCGCCCTCAGCCATGTTCTTATAACCTAATTCGCAGCCATGTCTAAGAAAACTAAAGACACCATGAGTCTGAATCACGCCCGATATGGTCTGGCCGTTATTATTCAAAATAAACTCAAACCGTATTGGAACATCACTGACCGTGGGGCTGCAGTCCGTCGATGGGGTCCCATAAGGTAAAATAAATCCCGTTGGATCCCATCAAGTGTTTTCAGGTTCCCCGGGTCCCATCAAGTAATTTCCTCTATAGTATATGGCGTCGTCACGTAGTCTGAGGGCGAACAGCGCTCTCAGACTGAGAGCGCTGTTCGCCGCCTCTCGTTATTGCTTTGCAGTCGCTGCTGCCGTACGTGCTTGACCTGTACATCCTTCCAGAACATCTAGTTCTGGTAAAAGCGTGGAAACAGTCGGAGGAGTAGTGCGCTTCTCGACGTCTGCCCAACACTTTTTCTTGTGTGGAATAGCCAACATTCGCACAACCGAAGAAGTACATTGGCCTTTCTGAGTTGGTTCGATCTCCTTTGCTTCTTTCAACGTGTCCATGACTCCTATCAAGAGGGCAGAGGGAACTGATGCAAACGTAGTAAGTCGATGGATTCGCAATCTTGACATGAGCATCGATAAATACTTAGGCTATGAATATTATGTTAGAAACCATTGTTATTAATCAATTTTTTTATTTAAAAATAACGATAAAGTGTGCTCTTATATATATATATATATATATATGCAAAGGTCCTAAAGCTAAACATTAGCAGTCTAAAAATAATGAGTGTGCTCATATTAATATTTGAGCAAAGGTCCTAAATCCCCAAATTTAAAATCTAAACATTAGTGCTCTTGAGAATACTATTAGTGTTTCGGTAATTCTAACACGAAGAGGAAGAGGTAGCATCAGAGGGATTGCGGACTTCGGCCAGGGATTTTCAGATGGAAGTCTCTATTGAGACTGCGAAGTATAATTAACGGATTGGAGAGGTACCTGAAAGATTGTGGATCTATCCAGTTTGTGAAATGATGGCATCTCTAAAACAAGGTCCTAGATCTACAGAGTCCAATATCCACTGCTTTTGCAGGCGTTGTTTTATGGATCGATGTTTGCATCAATACAGCTACCTTCAAGCAAAAGCTCTGATTGCAGCTGCTTAAGGTGGCAACGCGTCTCCGCAAGGTGAAATATGTGTGGGAATCAATTTGACTTTTAGGCGTCAATTTAGTCTCATCCTTGAAACAGTCATAGATTCCAGCTCATACGATACTCGAGATGAAGATGCATGAAGCACCTACCAAGTTTCTTTCAATCTCACAATGCCATTCCAAACCTATAAATCTAGAACTGTATCCAGTGAGTATAGTAGGATGACGTTTTCTAGATTCGAACTTTCCATAAGCTACTGTATATTATTATTGAACATAATATGAAGAATGCTTGCTCAAAAGTTTGACCGGGTCTTACCTGCTCCATCTCTTGGATTGTAATGCTTGAAAGCCTTTATGACCTGAACACATCCCAACAACATAACCAATTGATTGGTAAAGTTGATTGAACGAAAAGCTTCCTTTGAGTTCAAGTTTACGAAAGTTTGAACAAATATTAAAATCGAACAAAATTCAAGAATATAATATCATTCATGAAATCAGCTCAATGACCAATTATTTGTTCAAATTTCATTTTAATCGGAAAGAAGAATAGATTTCAAACATATTGAAAAACAACATATCTGAATATTTACTCAAGTTGATATTAATTTGAAATTTTTTAATCATTGTTCATATTATTTTCTTCCTTTTTAATAAAACTTTGATGTTTTACTGATCTCACTATCCCTTTTGTATGCAACACAATTGATAGAATCAAGTATTGATTGGAAATTTTACTATACTCTTCTTGGCAAGTGTTTGGGAGAGAGAGAAAGAGATTAATTTTATTGAAAGGCGATCATCTTGTATATGTTGGAAGATAAATTGCGATGTTGCTCTAGGCAGCTCTTTATTCTAGCTTTGTAGGTTCCGGCCCAATGTTGCATGTCACATAAGTGTTTTTTGGAAAATTCTAGCTTTTCCAGAATTGAGGGCTACTCCTATTGTGCACGAAGGTATCGTCACTAAGAGGAGTTGAAAGTATCAGACATACTTACTTTC